GTTGTATTAGTAGCATGATTGGCATTAGTATTAGGGTCAATACCATTCTATAAAGCCGGATTTCAATATCAAATATTATTCGTTCTAGTTTTAATTTGAGGATTCATATTAGCATTCGCATTTCTACTATTATTAGTATTCATATTGGTATTAGCACATTCTTGGTTTTGGTTGTAGGTTCGTATTCAAAATAATTTAGGAATATATGCAAATAATATGGGTCTATTCTCACAGAAATAATTTAAGAAAAAAACCAGCCTAATCAGAGCATAGACTAGTACAAGAAGGACAAATAATTTATGAGTGAAGGCACCCCTTACCCTTGGATTATCCAGAACAGGAAAATATTGTAAGTAGTGTTGTTAATTAAAAACAACATAATGAAAAAGACTAGAACCAAAAACCAAAAACCAAAAAAAAAAACGTTTGAGGAGAAGTGGATTCCAGTCAAAATTGTTGTTTTTTTGGTTTTGGTTGTTTGGTATTTTGGTTCTTGGTTTTTGGTTTTTGGTTTACTGCGTAGAGCTTACTGCTGTATGAGTATGTACTACATTAAGTCTAATTTTTTATTACACCGAAAACCAAAAACCAAAAAAAAAAATTGACTGGAATCCACTTCTCCTCAAAAGTTTTGGTTTTTTGGTATTTTGGTGTTTTGGTTTTTGTATATGTTCTAGTCTTTCACATAATTTACATTTAGTTTAGCAGTACCCTAACATAGTATCAGAATTTAATATTGCAAAAATGCTAGACAACACCGCTATTTACAGTGGTTTCATGCTCTGGGTAGTTCTTGGGGGGTGGTGACCAAATATGTCCTTGGAAAATCAAAATTTTGACGATGAATCCGGCAAAACCTAAAACAGGTCTATACTAACACATACCCTGAAGAAAATCACCCTTGAGAAGATGAATCGACGAAATTTCGAGGACGTCTCGAGCGGGAGCGTGATTTTCAAAAATCAACTTATCAAAAATTTCAAGACGCTCCGCACGGGAGCGCGATTTTGATCAAAGCAGAAAGATAAATTTCGAGGACGTCTCGAGCGAGAGCGCGATTTTTAAAGGTCGATTCATCAAAATTATCAAGACGCTCCGCATGGGAGCGCAATTTTGGTTGAGAGAGAATGATCTTGAGCGAAACAGTTTAGTATAGAATTAGTATAGATTTTTCCTTAAAACGATCAAGCACATGAAAAACGAAGCTAAGGAATCCTATACCAGACCTATATTAAAACGACCCCCCAAGAACCTCACCCTTGAGAAGACAAATCAACGAAATTTTGAGGATGTCTCGAGCGAAACCGTGATTTTTTAAGACATCAGAATTTTGAAGACGCTCCGCGCGGGAGCGCAATTTTGATGTTTTCATAATTAACATCAAAAAATGTTTTAAAAAATCAACGAAATTTTGAGGACGTCTCGAGCGAGAGCGTGATTTTTGAAAATAGCATCAAGATAATAAAAAGTGAGCCGAGGCTCAAAATAGGCTGACTGTCCGACGAAAGTGCGCATTTTTCATGTTTTCATAACATCAAAAAATCTTTAAAAATCATCAAAATTTTGAGGACGTCTCGAGCGAGAGCGCGATTTGCGATGATTTTAGTGAAAGCCGGGGGGTCGTCCAGTTTGTTTCGGGACCCCCCTAGCAAGACTAAAGTGAAGGCAATCGGGCCTCCCAGACACAACATCGTAAG